GACTGGCTACTTTTATGGCTTCTCAACGTTTCATGACTCCTATAATACGAAAACATAGGTCTCTCGTTTCCAGTTGATAAAACGCTGACCAACATTTGTAATCATCCTCCCCATCATATAACGTCATCTCCAACTTTTACAGCAATAAATGTTATATGATTTTTAAAAATAACATACTTTTTCATTTGTTGTTTATTGAGTTTTTACCCTAAGCACCCAGATTGAATTAAATTACCATAACCCTAATTTCTTGAGATTTTGGAACCAGGATATACGACATAAAGAAAGTTAAAAGAATTTGAAGTAATGTAATGATACTCTTTTTACATCAACATACTATTATTTATCAATTAATTGAGCATCGTCCAAAATACTGTTCATAAATTATAAGTGCAGGAAGTTTATGCAAAAACATGCAAATACATTTTTTGCGTATAATAATATGTATTGCTTTATTATTAAGTATCTACTCATTTATAAGAATTATTAAAATTAGTAAAAAAAAGTATTCAAGTCTCTGTCTAGTTTAATACCTTACCTTATTAAAATAATAAGTTTAATCAATTATGTAGTTAGCAAACAATGACGTTTAATTTATACTTAGTAGGGTTCACGGCATGTTTAATTCGGAGTTATAATTTGAGAATATAATTTACCCGTTTATTTATTTTTGTAGTTTAGTAGTACTTCAGCAAATTTAGAAAACTGTATGTTATTTAAAAATACGTGACAAATCAGGAGGCCAGGCAATCTAGAGATCTGACTGCTGGTTTGCGCGGGAAATACTGCATACTTTTTAGATAAAAGGAGTCTATGATAAGCGCACGTAGGAGATGAGAGACAGAGAGCTAATATTTAGAGCTAATGTATTGGAAAGAAATAGGACAAGTTTACGTGCGCACACCACAGCCTCCCTTTCTTCTCTAAACAGTTTGGGATCATACCATAGTATCATAAATAATAATTGACAAAGAGTTCGCAAAGGAATCCAACGGAAATATTTATACAATTGTTTACAACTACCAGTACAAATAATTCTTTCATTTTCAACTGAAAAGCGTATAACTATATTAAGTACTAGATATTATGGAGTTAGGGGTAATCAAATAGATTTGGGTTGCAGTCAACATAATTGTCACTGATACATAAGACATGGTAACGAATGATTTATTTCCAAATCCAAATATACTGCATTTACAGTTTTAAACAGTATCACTGCTAATTTTCTCTGGTTGCCCGACAATAGCTACTTGTAGTCAATATCCACGTAATCTAATAAAATACTGGAATCCAATTGTTTGAGACAACAACCTATTTTTACCCGAGTGTTCTTTATCAGTTTGAATATTTTATATAAAAAAATTACATATTAAGCTGCAATTTTAGTAGGACTGCAGCGAGTCAACGAACCGCCTTTACTCCGCCAATGCAAAGAAAATATCATTTTATTATCCTTTGTAAAAATAATTCCTTTCTGTAAAACACATTTAAATTTGGTACTCCGTATTTCGTTCACAATTCACCATTTAACAATGGAAATTAACAATGCAATATTTGGATTCTACAGTTTTTAGGAAAAATGAATGACTGCAATGAGTTTTATCAAATGTAGATTTTATATAAAAATAAAGAAAAATAAGTCTCTTTATTTTAAAAATATTTAGAAAAAATCGAATCAAAACATCAATAACTTAACATTCATTGTTCGTTATACTTAGTTAACTACTTCACCACGAGATTTCTAATATCGTTTCAATTTTTCATTTATTTCACATTATGAGTCCTTGCCGTATTTCTTGTTCTGCGCGTGAAGTTGATTAAGAAATCTTAATCTTAATTATCTCTGAAAAATGTATCTATTATTATCTGTAATTATTGATGTGGAAATATCATTTCCACAAATACGAATATAAGTATGCAGCATTATGAATTTTGTTGAGTAAAATTTTAGAGAAAATAAGTTCAATCATTTCCGAGAAATCATTAAATAAAAATGTTACTGTTAAGTAAAAAATTAAATTATTTGTTTAACGAGCAACAAATCTATTTGAAATTTAAATTTGTAAAATTTCGAATCTAATAATTTGAAACTCAATATTTCTTAAAAAAAAAATCGAAAATATTTGTAACATCTATAACAACAGAAAAAGAGTTGCACAAATTACAGTTGTTTTTTTTAAATTTCAGATTCATCAAAATTGTGAAGTCTCTTTTTTATTGATTTCACATTATTCTTATTGTTCTGCGCGTGAAGTTGAATACGATTTCTTTCCCAACCCCAAACCTAACGCTGAAAAGCAAAACAGCAAGGAAGTACGTAAAAACGGATAACGGTACTGTATCGATTTCTGCTTGGACATGCGGCAAATCAGCACTGAATCTAAACTATGTTTCGCTTCGCCCAAGTGCGACATGCGGCAAATCTGCACCAAGCAGTAGAGGCGAAAATCCCTCGGACGCGATTTGGATATGCGGCAAACCAGTTCTAAGGTGACGAATTGTCAGGTCACTGTAAATTGATAACTGTGAATTTTGGAAAAAGTCTTTTTCACGTAAAAGTTTTGTAAAAAAATGGAAATTCCTGCAGAAATTTGTCGAATGTTGTGTAGAACTTGCTTCCAGATACTTCTAACGAGTTATATGAAAATAGCAAGAGATTTTATGAAGATTTAAGTTTTAGTGAAATACTGGACCCTTAGCAACCAGTATTCCATTTAATGAAACACTAATTCATTTTAACAACACCAAACAACGGTAATAATGGCTAGAATATAAACAGGAATAAGAGAAACGTTATTTTTAAAAACAAGTTTATTAAACCAATAAACTTAACTAACTGCCGTTTTTTTATATATTTTTATCGCTTATTCAGATTTTTCAATACTTTTATTTTTTGAATTTTCATCATTTTTCTCTTTTATTTCGTATAATTCACCATATTTACATGTGGCAATGATTGGAGTATCAACGATTACTCACATAGTGTCAATCATGAGACTTTTGTAAGAATGGCTTTTATGCAATAACCGCCGTTATGGTAGAAAGATTTTCATATAAAGACAAAATAAAAACCAGTATCTTAAAACCGTTAGAAACATTGAAAACAAAAATATGTTTCAGAAATAGATTTTAAGCATTTTTATTTGAGGTGAGATCCTCAAAGTGCCAATCGTTGGGTACCCTATTTAGCATCACTAAAAACAAGTGACCGAAATTTTTTAAAAACAATAATTCGTTAAATTTTAATTAAACATGCTTGTATTCTCTGATAGGCAACCTGGAAGAACCGTATTTCTTCCTTGATATTATCCATAAAAATTATATTTTTAATAAATACCAATGGACGTAGTAATTAGGTACGCGCTTGCACCTTGGACTATTATTTCTTGCATTGTGTTCGGGCTTCAACGGCAAACTGTAATAACTTTTCATCAGAAATCTTGCAAAACTTTCCTGATCTCAGTTATAATTGCTTACGTCAACATTGTGTAGAAAGTTCAAATTGATGATTTATTGTCACAAAAACAAAAACTTACCCAATGATGAACATCAATAATGATTATTATTATTACGGTAAATGGCGAGAATCTTGATGAACTGTTCCATGTGCAACTAACACAAAAACCTTGTGAAACAAAAAACTTCCTCAAGTGTTTGGGAAAACCGATCACGCTTTGTACACTGACCGTTATTAAAAACCGACCCCCCTGAAATATTTTGCAAAACCATTTGAAAATTGTATTTTAACTAGTGACTGTATTTATTTCTCTTTTTTGGGATAATTTATACATCCTGTGCCTACAGTGAATGATTCTCTATATAACATACAATTACTAGATCAACTAAACATTTTTAAAGCGATTTTGCGAAATATGTCAGGGTGGCCGGTTTTTTGCCAGTCAGTATATATTTTCTAAAGTCCAGAGCACAACTAACACAATTCCACAAGTTTACTGCCATCGTGAAATCACAAATCACTAATCACTAATCAATCACTGTCGTTACGACTCATCATCAGTACACACTTCCTTCTGCATGTCCGTCGCAAGCACAACTGAGAGAACTGACAGATTGATATAGATGCGACATAGAGGCTGATTTTGCTAAACCACCCTTATTGACATTGGAGTCCTGAACCGCCAAAGGCAAGCGCCAAATTTAAATAGTCGGTGCCCATAAAAGCCTTGTTTCACTATAATTGTATTTCGTGCGACCCGAATGAAAGTGAAGGAAACAGTAAGCAGCTTGTAATATTCTGGTAAATTTAGTGTCAGTTTGTCGGAAATAAAACGCGTCGTTAAAAATTTCTTCTAGTTACCTACTTTTATCCCTAGTTAGAAACAAACACTGGTACTATCATAAATTGAAGAGTCCGCAACCGTCATTTGATTTAAACTATGGCGCTTCTCTATGTTCTCTGGCACTCACCACTGAGGTTTACTGAGGAACTGAGACGTGAGAGTGTGAACCGACGCCAGGATGGCACAGCACAACACAACTGGCAAATGACTGTCATGCGTAGTTTTGGCTTTTGGTGTTATGCAACCCTCTAGTGTCCGAACTGGATATTCTGTACAATACGCGAACTAAATGACCGTTGGGGGCGCCACTGTTAACTGCAACATGGCCGCTCTAAGGCATATTTGACGTATCCTTTATGGCAAGTCTTAAGTGTCCATCGTGTGAAAAAAGTGTGTTGTGTTAATAAATCGAGCGTTTTTGTAGTGGATTTGTTCAGTTTACAGCCTGTTTCGTTGTTTGTGTCAGTTTTTTTTGTAGTTCTCATTTTATTAACCCTTTGTTTAACTTTTTAAGTGAACACATGCTAAATCATGTGGTGTTAAAACTTCTGTGAAAACTTTATTAATTATAGCGATTATTGTTTTTTAAATTAAGTGTTCATTTCATACTATGTATGAGTGGAATAATGCATAATAATAAAATAATAAAGCATGAATAATATTACAGGTTATTGCTGTCACCGTTTTAAACAAAACTGCTAAAACAGCATAAGAAAATGTATTTTTCAGTTTCATAAAAGTTAACAGAACACGTTCTTTCAAGTTTAATTTATGTTTATTACAGAATTTTCCAAACATCTCACAATTTGCAACAATAGCATTAAATAACAGAAAGGATGGTATTCCAGCCATTGTATTTAAATCATTATCAGATTTAAGTGTACTTATAAAAGGTGCCACTAAATCTCCACTTGTCACTTGAATATTTTTATCCTTTTTTTGTGAATTTTGTAAATGTAACAAAGCCTGCACGGTTTCCATTTCTAATGCTAGAAAATAATCTGTATTTTTTAAATATCATCAAATGTATACATACTTGAAACAGTTTTTTGATGTAACTGACTGCTGTCGAAGCAATTTACATCAGTACTATCTGTACTTGAAATTATGTAACCTTCAGATTTTCTCATTGTTGTACTTCTGACTGCTTTAAAGTCTCGATTTTTGGGCCTTCTAGGTAGTAATTCTTTAGTAATGATACTTACATCTACAATATTTCATTTATTGTCTATTATACATTAACAACATTTACCCAAATCTGTACTTACCAGGTAATATTTTTATTTTTATTTATTTTATCCTATGATGTCTCTAACAAGCTGGAGGCCCAATTACAGGAAACATGACATACACAACACCCAAAAGGCAAGGCGGGAATCGAACCCACGACCCAAGGTGTAGTGGGCAAGCACGAAGCTAACTAACCCACCTGGGTCCTCAAATCAAATCCTCAATATGAAATCATCCTGATTACAATGTAGTGAACACACTTTCATGTGCTTTGTTGCTGGTTTTCCCATATTTAGCTTTACCATCCAAGTCTTATATCTGTCCATTTTTTTCCCTGATTCCTAACCTAAAAATATAATATATATATACATATTATACTGATAATCAAAAACAATTTAGTTAAATACTGATTAAACTAAATTTACTGTTGATATGAATACTTACCTGTTCATAACATTTAAACAAATGACTTGTTTTTTATGGGGAATTTATGAAAAGAGAGCCCAGTTTCTATTGTTTTTGCTATGGCAGCGAAAAACACAACAATTTGTATTGTTAACAGTCATTTTTTCAGGAATACTGGGACCAACTTATTTAATTTTGTTGGTTTAACATAAAACAACGAAATTTCACTGTACAACCAACAGTATTTACATCTTTCACTATGCTCCTGAGTAGTGCACATTTTTGACACCAGGTGTCGTATCAGATCATTTAGATCGCGTATAGAACCAGGAAAGAATCCAATAATCCATTTTGTGATATTTGTTATTACTTTAATTACATGATTGATTCTCGTAGATGATTCTTACGTACTGTTGTCTGTAGACCTATATACCTACACCTAGTTCGTTTTCATTAGGAATAACACAAAAACGTACGAGAAAAATAATCATGACATTCACATCCCATTGTACCGTTGTGTTCTTTAAATCTGGTACGGGGAAAAGTTTAGGAAACAAAAGATGTGAAAGATGGAGGGCGTACCTAGTTTAACTAGTTTAATCTCAAATCGTCCAAGTGACAGTAACATTTACATTAAAAAATGGTACAAAATTATTTACACAGAAGTTCCCTCGCCCCTGAAGTATAGGCGAACACATTCTTTGAAAAATTATCAAATTAAATTTTGCGAATTTTATTTTTATGATAAATCCTACATAAGTTAAAATAAAAATATTAATTATTTCAAAATAGTTGTCCATGCAGATGGCCATGAAAATTGGTAATAAAGTTGGCAGCAGGGGACAGCGACGTTAACTGGAACATTCAGATTAAAAAAATATATATACTATACGCGAAAGAGTGACCGTTGGGGGCCCTACTGCTGATCGGCAAATGGCGGCTCTTCTGGCAGTGTTGCCAAGGTTGCCATAATCATGGTATTTTTACCATAATTCAAACTCATTCGCCATATACCATCGGTTCCCTGAATGGTGTCCGTGCTTTACCATAATTTTCGAATCTTGTATTTACTTACAAAATTCAAAACACGTTGGTATTACTTTTATTAGTTTTTGCTTGTACAGCCCTGCTGTTATTGGCGGAGTGACAATGCAGTGGTTCAATGGTATTGGTTCATGATGATGAATCATAGAACATAGAGAAGCGTCATACAGGCTGATTTGGCATTGGAGTTCTTAACCGCCGAAGACAAGCGCCAAATTTAAATAGTCCATGACAAATAATACGAATAACCTTTGATTTTTAATACAAATTTTGATTTCATATTTGATAATGACAAGACAATTTTTGTGTAGTACACATGTAATCATAACATAAACTTCTTCGTTAAAAATAATGTAATTTCTTCTAGTTGGTTTTAATAATAATAATAATAATTTATTTGCCCAACGGTAACCCAGTTAGAGGGCAATTATATACAAAAAAGTCTTAATAACTGATACAAGAAAAAAACCTAAAAAACATAAACATAAATATCCATAAACATTTTAATAACCTATATAAAAATATCACTATACAATTCATTGGCCTGTCTAGATACTCTAACCATTGGAGAATTCTTTAACAAATTTGTTCTAGGCTGGGATAGTATTAGCACTTAACCGAGGCACATGAAAGCTGACATATTCGAGAAGCTGAGAACTATCCAGTTTGCTGTGTAGCAATTTCCACATAAAACGAGCACCATGAATCTTACGTCTGGCAGAGAGTGATTGTAATTCGTGAGTTTGCAATAAATAATTGTAGTCAATATTGCGAACAGGATTAATACCAGAGATTTTAAAACTAAGGAACTTCATAAAGCGACGTTGCACTCTCTCAATAATAAGTTCATGCCGCAGATACTTAACACGGCGACCAAACCACTGAAGCAAACTCCAGTTTGCTCACAATGAATGCAAAGTAGAGCGATTTAATCAACTGTGGATTATCAAAGTACCTGGACACACGCAACATAAAACCCAAGGATTTAAAAGCAGAAAGCGCCAGATTTTCAATATGCAACAATGGCGAAACAAGTATATAACATACTTGCACAGATGAACGAAAAAAACAAACTGGACGAAAATATGGACGCAAGGAACAAAGAAATGGACGAAAAAATGGGCGCAAGAGACGAAAAAATTACCGTAAAAATGAAAATGATGAACGCAAAAATAGATAGGCAAAAAATTACATAATCTCCAGTCTAAATAAAAAATTTCAAAAGGAAGTAGAAGCAAATAAGAATGAAATAGAAGAAATTAAAGAACAAATGAAAGGCATGAAAACAAATTTGCAAGTAATTCAAAATCTTTTCAGAGAAAATGTGGGCATAAACCAAAATGTAAAAGAAGAAATATGGAAAATCGAATGAAAACTATAGAAGACAGAATGGAGAACAAAGTGAAGAAATTTGAAAAGATCATAAAAAATGCAGGAACAATTAGCTCATGTAATGTGAGGTCGACCCACAGAATAATTCAACCTATCACGGTCAGTCACCTTCGTTATCATACAAGAAGCAGTTTGAAGTAACAGCTGTGGCAAATTTTTGGGAAGAACATCAAAAAGCCATAGTCTTGGTAATAGCTCTACGAAGTGCAGGGCTAGAGATACCTACTTCAAATCCTCTCTAGAGAAGATAGAAGCAAATATAGTACCCTAAATGCTGGTCTAGAACTTCGATTTGGGGATAAACATCTAAAACAAGTTTTCGCAGCGCAAGCAAAGACAAGGACATAAAAGGTTGGAGAATCTCTGCAAAAATTTGGAACAGATGTGAAGAAACTGATACGTCTTGCATACTTCGTTGGACCACCAAATTTTCAAAATATTTTTGCGGCAGAAAGCTTTGTAAATGGCATGCATCCGCGACGTTCATCCTGCAAGAAGACCATGCTTATTTATTTATTTTTTATTTTATAGGACACATTGTTAAATTCGAATTTCTTTTATAAATTTATTCTATTTTAGAATCATAATTTTATTTATAAGCACCCAAATGCGAGCATAAATTTGCCTTTAAGGCACAAATCAGTCAAAAATTGCTAAGCAACGATTGATTATTCATTTAAATTAATTAATTATTCAAACAAGCTTCGATATTCAACATTTTTATTAAAGTTGGGAAAATAGTATTTCATCAAATCGTTCCCTGGCAACTTCAAATTCTGCTAAAATTTCTTTTGAATAAACGTTTTTCGCTTCTTCAATTTACAATTTGAAAATCGAATTATTTGACAAATAAACAACGTGGTGTCCATAACAACATCAAAATAATGGCCAGCTACGTCGGCACAATTCACACAGTCTTGTCGCAAATACTTAATATTTCGTTAAAAACATATATTTTAGAAACTAAAATAGAATAAAACGTTGTGTATATCACGAGCATAATTGTCGATTGTGGCCTTCGGGAAATTAAAAGCCCTCCTTCGTCGGGCTTTAAACATTCCCTCGTGCCATAATTTCCCTAATTGTGCCCTTATAACATAAATAACTATTATCAAATTGTTTGCTTTGATATTTGCTTTATTATATTTTCACATTGTGATTCCATTTAAAGTAATAATGGATTACGATGGGGGATCGTTTTACCTCCAAATATGTATTGGATAATGATTTCTTTATTGGTTTTGATGAAAATGAATAAAAGTGCAAAGAAGTGTCCCTAAATTTTGGACATGCACATAGTTACCCTGGTTTCTTCTTTCTGTATCGTTTCATTTTTACTTCCCGAGCGTAAGTTAAGGAAGTATAGTAATCGAGTCCATCGGCTGAATTGCCACTTTTGTGTCTTCTCGACGTGTCATGACCTCTAGAGTACGAAAAAAGTGGTGTCCCGTTTCCGTCTGTCTGTCTGCCAGTGTGTATCCAGTTTTATTAGACAAGTAATCTCGGAAATTACTGGACTGATTGTTGTTATATTTTGTATATAAGTATATTAGGAATATCATGGAGATGATATAGTTATCACCGCTGTTGATACTTTGAATTTGCAGGATTACATTGTTGCAATAGGTAATGTTGTGACACCCAAAAATATTTTGTTTGCATCTAGAATCTCAAAAAATCGTATTTGTATTTACCTTACTTCGAAGTCTTTGGTTGATGACCTTGTCACGGTGCATCCCTCTATTAAAGTTAAAGACGTTGACGTCGGTATACGTCGTTTATTAAACCCAGCTCGATGATTAATTTTATCAAACATCTGCCCATCTATTCCTCATGTTATTTTTGAGAACAGAATTAAATCCCTCGGACTTGTCCCTGTGTCACCTATGTCTTTTATGAGAGCGGGCATTAAAGACGAACAATATGCGCATATACTCAGTTTTCGTAGATACATGTATGTTCAACCTGACGACAGCATTATTCTTCCTGATTCTCTAGTGTTAAAATATGATGATACGAATTACCGGGTTTTTTTGACATATGATGACGTTTGCTACAAATGCAAATTGACTGGCCATTATGCTAACGAATGTCCTAATGTTACTTCATCAAATCAGGACCCTAATCCCACAGTAAGCATTGAAGAGACCCCTAGAAAAAGGCAGATTGACGACGACGTCAGTTCTCCCGAAATTTCACCTCTGGATCTCTCTGGTGATACTTCCAGTAAAATAAATAATACTTTAAAAAAGAAAAAAACGAGTGACTCCTGCGACAGTTTAACTCCGACTCTTGATTTGCTTTTACCTGCCCAAGACTTACTGAACAACACTGAGCAGTATCCACTGAACTTTGATCAAGTGGTCGGGTTCTTGGATAAGGCATCAGGTGTTAATGATATTCTTAGCCTTGTACGTGAATACACAAATGATATTCAAGGAGTTATGAATTTATTGTATGACGTTTACCCGATTGTGAATCACAAAAGTATGAAAAACAGATGTCGAAAAATACTTAGAAAAATTAAGAAAGCTTACAATCCAGATAACCTTAAGGGGATGTTTGCTAAAAGAAAACTGTCGGATTTTTAATTTTACCGTGTTACTGTCTTCACAAGAAGTTTGCGTGTAGAAAAATAAAGACGAGAAGTAGTGGTAAGCTGGTTG